AGACAGAGACAGACAGAGACAGACAGAGACAGACAGAGACAGACAGACAGACAGAGAGAGAGAGAGAGATAGAGATAGATAGATAGATAGATAGATAGATAGAAATAGATAGAAATAGATAGAATTAGATAGAATTAGATAGAATTAGATAGAATTAGATAGATTTAGATAGATAAATAGATAGATACCAAGTGTACAATAAGTGTTGAACGTACTCCAGCTTGCCCATCAGTTGTCTTACTGGACATGTCTCAAGCCACTAACATCTTGAAAGCAAATCAGCGGTATCTCCCTTTGTGATCTCTGACATTCCAGAAAAAGGCACTCTTTGACTCGTTGCAGTTGACCCGTCCTTCTCTGGATTGTGGCTGTTCCCTCTTCCAGCCACTTTTCAGATTCAACTTTCAAAATGGTCTGATCTCCACTGAATGAGACACATGGTTGTGGGTCAAAACAGGAGCACCCTGGTTGACCACCAAAAATGAACAGAATAGACTACCAAGCATGGTCAACCTACCAGGGTTTGGTAGAAAGCACAGGGCATTGCGTCTCAGCAGCTTGGACAGCTTCATGAGGTCGCCATCAACATCGCTGCGATTCTCCATGACCTCGAGAAGTACAACTTTAAAGTAGAAGCACCGTGTAAATGCATGACAGCACGACAATACATACGATGTGACTAATAATATCGATTTGATTCAACATCAAACAAAGATGGTGTCCTTGGCAACAACCTTGTGTAAATGCTGTGTGTGTGTGTGTGTTTCACCAGGCCTCTCCCAACTTCACGGCGGCCTGTGCGTCCAAGCGGTTTCTCTTGGCGAACTCTTGGATCTGAGGAGCAGGCAGCACAGGCAGTCAGAAGGTGTGTAATGACTATGAATCAGGTTTCTCAAAGACATGCTCACGATTGCTTTCTGTAGCCAATGAAGAATGTGTGCGAAGGAAAAACAAAAGCGCAAAAGTACGAGTACCAAAGCATCTTAGACACCCGACAGACTTCCCAAAGCACCCACTCCTTCTTGGTCAGAGCTGTCATCCCCTTGAATACGCCCATGCGCATGTCTTTGACCTTCATCATCAGCATTCCTCCAAGACAACTCATTGATGCAGTTGCAAACTTGCTTAAAACTGCATGTCTGGAAGTGTACGATCTTCAGTTTACTGATTGCTGCCTTGTGATAGCTTGATACAATCTCGCGACTTCGACAAGCGGAACATGAATCTCAAGGCCCCCTAAGTCCCATCCTGCCGGATTCTTTGAACCTTCCAGTCCGACCCAAAGTGCTTGCATATCTGATTCGAACCTGAATCCAAATTCCAAATCCCAAGACAGTTCCATTGTCTGAGTCAAAATGTGTTCCACATTTGCTTACTGCTGCCAAGCAGCGTGTCCTTGCGCTTTTTCATTTCCTCATTGAGCGCCCGTCTTACGCGTTCATCTGGTCAGGAGTCACACATGTGGAACCCGAGAATCGCACTGGTCAACGATGAATATGATGAACTGTCTACGTTGCCATTCGGACACAACTTGGACACAATCTGCCCGCCTAGGCCATGGTGATCTGCCAGCTCTTGCACCTGAGGGTCAATCCCTGCACTTTTGATCTGCTCGTACTCTGTGGCAACCTGCTGGAACCTACCAAGGCTGCCATGAGGCCAAACTCTCAGCCATGAGGCCAAACTCACAGGCGTAAACACATGGTCATGCAGTCCTCATCTGCGCCAAAGACTCTGAATCCAAAGAGCCGGGAGGTGGCATACCTGGAGAAACAACTCAAGGAAAGACTTGATAGTGAGTGCTGTTATCAACACACATGTTTATGCCAATGGGCTTAAAACCGCGCGTGTAGTGAAGCTGCTTTTTCATACAGTCCTTTTGGGGGGCAAGAACACAAACACACGCATTGGAATATGGAAGATGGGGGCAGGGGCGGGGTTCGGGGGGTTTCGGGGGGTTTGGGTGGGGGGCTAGTGATGTTCATGTTGTGTGCATTTGTATTAGGAAGCGGTTGGGTGGGGGGCTAAACACGTTGCATGTTCAGTGCATCATAGTGCATACGAAGATAAAGCCGGGTCTCCCTGACTGAACCGTTGTAGTCTAGCTTTGTGGTGTGTTCGTTGCACATTTATCGTCTACCTCGGATGCGACCGTAGCTACGCCGATCGTCCCATGATCTCCGGAGAGTGACCACCGTTTGGGGCCCAGGGCAGGTTGTCCGTTGATGGGGTCCGTTCGAACAGAGCCGATGCGATCGACGCTCGGGGTTGGCATATGTTACATATGATTGAGCCTAAAGTGGGATGGCTTGCAGTGGTCAATGTACCGAAGCACTCCATGTTCATTCCGAAGATTTTCCGTTCGGGGGATTGTTAGATGCTTGAGATAGTTGAAACAATAAGAGTATTGTCCAAGACTGTTGAGGATTTTACACATGCACATTGACAACGTTGATACAGCATGAACCATGAATCTAGACAGGATTCTCACCAGATGTTGAGTTTTTTGGCCGTGATGGTCGAATTTATGTTTGCAGCGCACCATGGCTTCTTCCAACCATGGGAATCGTGCGGCGTGGATGCGTTTGGTCAATTTCTGATGCAAATGCGCCCAGAGACCATGTATGACAAGGGCGACATCGTGAAGGCTGGCCGCGCTGCAGGTTGGAAAGATGGTGAGATCGAAGAGTATCTTGGTACCTGGGTCAGTCTTGGCGTTGTGAAGCAGAGCGCTTGCCGTCGCTATTTTTCGTTGGCTTTACCACAGCTGTCACCCAGAGCTGTCGAGACTGCTGAGCGATCTGTTGCTTGTTCGTTTCTTGATTTGATTATATACTGTGCCACGTTTTCCTAAGTCGTTTATCCGGGGCTATTCGTGGATGTTTCGTGGAATGGTGGGCCAGTAGGACACTTGCATGACGGCAACAAAATCCCAGAAACCTTCGCAGAACTTCGTGGAAGGTACTTTTGATGCACTAACTTTGTATCAGACCCCCTTCTCCATACACCCTCCATTTAGCCTTTATTTTAGGTTGTGTGAATTGTTGCTGAGCCACAGAGGTCATGCGACCAGGCGATAGCGATACTAGACAGTCCGGAGTTGAAGCGTCGGTTTGCAACTGTGGTGCTTTCGGACTCGGACTCTGAGATTGCTTGCGAAAAAGGACGAGATAGCGGCCAAAAGCGGAGGCAATCGGTTTTCCAGTCGGCACGCACCTTCGAGGATTGGTGTTCTGTACGGCGGAAAAATTCCACATCTTCTGCAGACGCTGTTTCGGAATGCGCGAGTGAAGCAGACATCCATTCGGAGATCAGTGGCTTTGAGAGTCCACATCATCTCAAAGCCAAATGGAAATATTGGCATGACAAAGGGCAGAACCCGGCATTACAATTTGTGCGAAAAGAAGATGAGGAGATCGAGACATGGACGCGCTGTGCGGAATCATCTGCGTGTGTCAGCAAGGCGCCATCCTCTGAAACCAACCCTTTTGACCTGAATGCCTTTTTGAAAGATGAAGACGAAGAGATTCGAGTTTTGGTGGAAAGTTCTGTTCCCGTGTACAGTGACAAACAACGTCGCTTTAAGTGGGGAGGCTGCGGGATTCATACAGACCTGAGTCTTCAGCCCCATCTAATTCGATCTGGACCTTCGAAAGGTGACCTTGTTTTGAGGTGCTCTTCTTTTTGGAAGACCAACGAGGTCACCGGAAAACCGTTGTGTTTTTTTCATCACAAGTTCCCCATGAAATTGTTTGGTCAGCTGCCTAAGGGACTCCAAGAGGAATGGGCAGACCTGAAGAATGTGTTGTTGAGGAACGGACGCAGACACTGAATGGAGGAAAGACGCACGGAAGCGCATGTCTGAACTGCAGAGCGCTTGACTTCTTGTACGAACCACTCATTTTGATTTCTCTGACAGTCCTCGCTCTCTCTCTCTCTATGTATATATATAATTTGATATATACACACTTATATAGTTTATATACATAGATATAAAGATATGCTCTCTCTCTCTATAATATATACATATAAATATTTATAGATCTCCTCCTCCGCGGATTAACTCGGTTGTGCAACTTTTTGTTGATCGGACAGACCGCATGTGAGACGTTTGCAAAGACATGAAATGCTTTGTTTGCCTTCGCTGTGTCTAATGCTCGAGGCTCCTCCAGCATGAAAGGCTCCAGAAGTAAAGGAACTAAGGCTGAGCCTGTGTGTTCATGTTGCGACAAAAGAGGTCACTACGCTAGCGCTTGTCCTGTGCTGGCTAAGCAAGTTCTGGCTGCTTTGGGAAAGACACACTCCTCAGCGCAGATCAAAAAGATCGTGGCGAAGAATACGTCCTTGAAGCTGCAAGATTTTCACGGCAAGAATGTGAAGACAGGCAAAAGAGCCAGCGGGAATCGCAGCTTTCGTGGACCTGTGGCGTCTGCCGCGGGTGCTGCTTCGAAGGCCCAAAAAGGCAGAAGTGCGAAGAAAAAAAACAAAGAGAGAGAACAGAAGCGAAGACCTCGCGCTCAGAAACAAAAGGGCAAACAGCCCAAAGTCGGAGCTCGTTCTGTGGCTGACGCATTTGCTTTTTTGAAGAAGAAAAAATTGCTTTGGAAGCCTGGTCTTTGCGAGTGCGGAGGCACCTGGTCCGCCATTAGTTTTGCACATTGCCAGCAACGCGGCTTTGGCCGCAAATTCCTGCGCTGTGAAGATTGCGGCGCCTATAAAGATGTGCTTGCTTGGAGTCATTTGCCTCAAGTTCGCATGAGTCTTCCATGCGTGCAACGTGCTTTGGAGCTCTACTTTGGACAGACGCCTCCACCTTCTGTCGACCACATTGGTCTGCAGCTAGGTCTCAGTGGAAAGAACACAGGGTCCTTGAAAAAGCTTTTATCTTCTTGCCAAACCATGAGGTGACCCTGGCTCAAGAAGAGCAAGCCGCGGCCAATCTCTCAGGACAGATCGAATGCGATGCTACGTCCATTCGAAAATGGAAGAAGGAGGACGGGACTATTCAGTACTACCAAGTCTTCGGCATGTTTCGGCGACCAACCTCCTCTTCGGACAGAGGCCAGTTCTGTGTGTACTCCATGGGCTGCGCTTCGTCTCAGAAGTCAGGAAAGCCTCCTCCAGAAAGCAGGAACCGAATCTTGGAAACCAGAGCTTTTGACCAGATCAGCGCCCGTGACTCGGCAAAGAAACAAACAGTGATTCTGACGGATGGTTGCCCTTCATACTCCCGAATATGTTCAGACTATGGTCTGCGCCACGAATCTTGCAATCACTCCAAGGAGTGTTTTGTGTAAAGAAAAGGTTGCGGTCAGGAGAGCTGCTCATCCACACCGGTGCCATTGATGGTATGTGGCGTTTGTGTAAGGAGTCGGTCCCCACTAGCTTGCGTTCACGTGACGGTGACGGTATAAACCCAAACATCATGAAGTTCATTCGACAGTGGCAATGGCGCTGGCACCAGAATAAAGATGATCTTCTGACGAAGCTGGGTCAGAAGTTGTCCAACAGACTTTGATCTGATGATGATGCTGGAGGAAGAAAAAGCGCGCGTTTTTTTTCGCACGAAACCACAGTCTCGTAGCATTTCGATGTCAAAATCGCTACGATTTTTGAGTTGTTTTCATGTACTGAATGCTGCGACAAACCTTGCATATCAATGCAAAACACAGTCACACACCGGACATTCCTCATCATTGAGCACCTCAGCCTTTCAAGAATGTGTTCAACCGCATGCGCGGAAACGAGCCCGGCGGGATGTTTATGTATGTTTACATCAAACATCACTGAAGTGCGGCCGTGACAGTGACAATTTTCGGGCAAGTCATCTGTATGTCATTTGCTTGGTGCTGCCATAGTCGTTCAGTGCTGGGGGCTCGGGCTGAGTCTGCTGACACATCGGTTTTGATTTGCTGCCCTGAGAGAATAACTATGCGTATCTATGCTTCAGATTGGGAGAATATATATATATATATGTATATATATAGAGAGAGAGAGTGAGTTGAATTGCAACACAAACTGTTCTGCCTTTGATAGCATCAACCTAAGTAAAACCAAGCAAATGTGCACCACAAAATGGAAGAAAGCAGAAAGCAAAATGCTGTAAGCAAGCCAACCCTACAATCAGGAAAGCAGGACAACATAAAAGGCTCGACGAGATGACACACTGTTCTATAGGACTCCGCACGCTTCAACACTACCCAGAAGCTCCACCACAACAACAAATGTTGTAACCAGCATCAATACTAAGTTTTGTATCTGTCTTTTTTTCCGCGTCAAAGGCCCACAGCTTGGCGGCTTGAGTGCATTCTTTGAGAGCTCAGGACCTTTGTTCCTCTCAAATTGACCCCTTCAATCTGGATAGAATAGGATAGAACCCTTGCGTCATTGAACGTTGAAAAAGGACAACTAGATCTGTGCTCTGGCCCTCACGTGGCCATTTCCACCTGTATACTTCTGTTGTATGCACGTTGGAATGGTTTCAGTTTGGGTTGACTCTCCAGCCACAACAATCGACGACGTATCTACTGCAGTCCCTTTCAATGATGTTTGATCCTGTCTGCGCTACATTCTGTCTTAAGCACTCCTTCTCATTCCTCTTCCATTCTCCGTCCGTGCCTGGCAAGGGCAACTTGGGCAAAGCCGGCGCGCCCAGCCCGGGCAGCGGCAAACCACAGCCGCCACAGCCACCCAAAACAAGAGGTGGTGGCGGCATTCCTGGCATCGTTCCCATCATTGGTCGCCCTGGTGCGCCTCCCAAGC